GGGGCCCTTTAGCTCTTGCTCAGCATTGATCAGATGCCCCTTTGCCTGCACAGCGTGTGGCAGGGTCACATCCATCCCGGCTCCGAGTCCTCACTGCACCCCTGTGCCAAAGACAAAATCTGTCCGAGGACCAGACCAGCGCTGCCCTCAGTGGGATGTGTCCATTTGTCACACATCCAGTGGCTTGTCCCTCTCCTCCATGGTGGCCCCTGGCCTGTCCCCAATGACCATGACCCCATGCTGCCTGTTGTGGCAGAGCTGGTGGCCCCAGGGTGCTGGGGATGGATGAGTTTGGGACATGAGGACTCTTAAGTTGGGACTGTCCTATGCCATGAGTCCCCTGCAAAGGAGGGACACTGGTCCCATTGTGGGTGGAGATCCCTCCAGGATGCTGGAGGGAGAGCAACCAGGGTCTGGCCACCAACCCTGTGGTCAGACCAGGCTGAGCAGAGCTTTATTTCAGGCTTAAGGCCTCCACTGGACCCTCAAACCCCCACTCTGGGGGGAAGGATGCGGTGCTGGGTGAATGCTCTGAGGAGGGACTTGGGAAAGGTCTAGGGGACAGTGCACGTGGCATTGTCCCCTCTGTCCCATTGTGTCCTGGACAGCCTGGTGTCTTCTTGTACAGCCTGGCACTGGTGGGAGAAAGATCTTGCCAAAATCATCCCTGGTGGGTGATGCCCACCTTAACTTGCCTGGGGCTCGGGGCAGCCACCCTGCGCCTTTCCTGCCTGTACATCAGCCCCTTTACTTTGGATCCTGCTCTTAGAGGGGTCTGGACACACAACCCCCCCTCTTCCCACCTTTCCCACCTGCAAAGTCATCAGGAGCCCTGGGAATGAGCCGCTCCCTCCTGGATCTCCCCTGGGAGCAGCAGCCCCACCTGGGCTAACCCCAAACCTCGGCGCTGGGTGCAGGCAGCAGCTCATTGCATTCGAGGGGGCATCCACCTGTCCGGGAACCCCCAAGGGACTTGGGGTGGGGGCATCACTCCCCAAGCACAGCAGCTTCACTCCGAGGAGCTTCACCCCAGCCGGGGAGGGGCACAAACCAGCACTGAGCAGCACGGCGCCGGGCTCCCCCCGATTTTCCTCCCTCCAGCTCGCGGCAGACCCTCGGCAGCACCTCCAGGAGCATCGCCCCAGCAGCCCCACGTGCCCCCCTTTTCCCACGCTCCCTTCCCCAGGGAGCCAGCACCCCACCCCGCGGGGGGAACACGTCTTCACGCTCTCTGTGTTTTCCTTTTGAACGGCGTGGCGGGCGCTAGGTGTCCAGCCACATCCAGGTTCTAGCTCGGAAGAAGGTGCGGGAGTACCAGGTTGGCATCAAGGTACGTTGGCGCCCTTGCCCAGGTGTCCGCGGCGGTGTCTCTGTGAGCATGGGCAGCCCCTTCTCCTTCTTCCTCCTCTCCTCTGGTTGACGGCTCTGCTGTTCCCCCTCTCCTTCTGCTCTCTCTCTGCAGGTCTCTAGCCACTTGCAGGTTCTTGCCCGGCGGAAATCTCGTGAGATTCAGTCCAAGCTGAAGGTACGCGTGTGCCCCCCAGCCCTGCTGCCACCCCTGCCCGCTCACCACTAACGCCCTGGGCTCTGTGCCGTGCTGCTTGCTTTCCTGGCTTGCCTTTGATTAGTTGCTCTTTTTTTTTTTTTTGGTGGTTTTTTTTTTTCTTCCCCCTCCCTCGACCGGGTAGGTTTTAGTGGCATCGTTGCCCAGGTGCCCAGAGAGAAGGGCCAAGGAGGGGAGGGTCCAGCTTGAAGGTGGGGTCAACAGAAACAGGCTTCCCTCTCCTCTAGGAGGGTGAATTTGAGTGCCAGATCCCCTCTTTTGTCTCAGGCAAGGACCTCACTGTGGGGAAACGGGGGTTTAAACCCTCCTCTGGTGATGCACGAGGGATCCCCCCTTCTTTTGGGACATCAGGGCCAAGGAGGCCCCAAGGAGGGGGAGGACCCCCAAGAGCAGCCAGCAAGGCAAAGTGAGGTTCAGGGAAAGGCTGAAAGGGCCCCTCCAGCCTCACCTAGTTGAGACCTGGCCCCGCTTGTGATGGGTGCCAGAGGGATGTGGGCAGAAGCAGGTGGGTCCTGGGGGTCCCTGCAGGCTCCCAGCCCGGTGGTTTTGTTACACCAGGGTGTGAGTACAGCCCAGGTGGCACCTCAGGGGTGTGGGTGGCAGCAGGTCCAGATGGGGCTGTGCTGCCAGGGAGTGGGCACAGCAGTGCCAGGGCAGCCCATGGTTCCAGGGGCCAAGGGAGCCGAGTGAGGAAAAAGTGGATCATCCTCTCTTCTCTGTTTGGCTTTTCTTTCCTTCCTTCCTTCTTCCTAACTGGAGCCCAACTAACCCTTCCGTAACAGTTCTCACCGAGCTTCGTGACAGTGGTGGGAGGATGATGATGAGGGGGGTGGGGTGGGGGCAGGTCTGGGGACGTTGCTGAAGGACTGAGACCTGCTGGGGTTGGACCCACACGGGTAGCTGGCTCCTGGCTGGGCTGCACAGCCTGGGATGCTCCTGGGATAATCCCTGCACCAGGGAGCATCTCCTCAGGCAGGATCCTGCTGCTTGGAGCAGATCCAGAGGAGCCCCCGCAATGCCCCGAGGGGGGAACCCCTCTGCTGGGGGCCCAGCAGGAGAGAGTTGGGCTGGGCCAGCTGAGAGGAGAAGGCTCCAGCTGGGGAGACCTGCTGGGGGCTGCCAGGGGCCTGCCAGAAAGCTGGGGGGCGACTTTGGAGCAGGGGCTGTTGGGACAGGACAAGGGGGGATGGTTTGAAGCTCCAAGAGGGAGCTTGAGACTGGAGAGAAGGGAGAAATGTTGGATGTTGAGGGGGGTGAGCCCCTGGCCCAGGCTGCCCAGAGAGGTGGTCGCTGCCCCATCCCTGGCACCATCCCCGGGGAGGT